TCTACTCTACTCTACTCTACTCTACTCTACTCTACTCTACTCTACTCCTCTCTGCTCAACTCAATTTCTTCATCTCCATTTTATTTTACTCATCTGCAGTATTTGTGTCTTCTTTTCCTTATTTTAAATTCTACTAAGCTAAAATAGCTTATCTTATTTTAATTGAAATATACTCGCATCAGCGAATTTTAGATCTAAATACTTGTACTCTCGCCAAATGCCAGTGAACTCAAATTGTTTACATACGTACATAGTCAGCGTCTTAATATTTTGCTTATAAATATTTGAAATAGTTTGAAAATTAATTTATTTACTTACTAATTTCTTAACCCGTTTTCTCTTCTATCTCTCTTTCTATTCTTACACAGATCTCGGATCGAAATTTAGCATGCCACAGCCGAAATTCGGTCAGAGCGTCTCACAGCAAGGTTTCTTCACATCACACGACAGCCTCGCCACACCATGCGCATCACGTGCCTCCAATCCACATGTGGCCACTGTAAGCACTGCCTCCGAAATGGATTTACTGCACAGCAGCAACAAACAGCGACGCAAATCGCGCGGCCGCCTGAAAACAATGTCCGGCGAGCAACCGCTGCTCGATTCGTGGCAACGTTCGACAACGGCGCGCGGTTCACAAGACAACACATTGGCCGGCGGCTTGGCGGGGAGTAATCAATTTAGCGGGAATTTCTGCAACGGCACTGATAGGTGAGAAATTGTTGAACTCAGTTTATATTTTATTTTTATAGTTTCAATGTCGCGTGCAATATATGTATCAGACATCTGCAGCGGGTGCATGATTTTCGTGTATACTCGATCATCTAACAAAACCCGTTTTGCATCGTTCTCTGTATACGAGCAGAAGTATTGTTCGTTATCGACTGAGCTCAAGACGAACATGTTGGCCACAACACCCGATTGCTTTTCATACATACTTGATTGGGTTCGGGTGCTTTGCAGCTCAATATACCCGGGTGTTCGAGTTTCAACCCGAGTGTGCACAAAATTTTCTTGATTGGCTTATGACGTTTTTGTTTCTACAAAAAATGTTGCCTTCTCATCGCGGTGTTCTTAGTTTTTGTGCGTAGAGGGTAAAGAGAAGGTTGAATTTTTCGGTAGTTTGTTTAAGTGTAGATTTAACCATTTCTTATATTTTTGCTCATACAAAATGCGGCATCACGACGCCTACATCCATTTAGGTATAAATGTGTGTAGATCGGCAATGCCCAAGCCCTATACACTCGGTGCACATTTATTTTTTGTAAAAGTACTTATGTACCTACATAGTTTTAGGCTGTGTTCTAATATATACACACACAGATTTCCACGCGAAACTATACGAAATAGATGCAAAAACATTTTTGTCTACTTCGCTTCTAATTTTTTCATTGCGTATGCACAAGCACAAAGCAACAACATTTTCGTATGTTTGTGGGAACATATTGGCGCCAGTTACCTTCAGCGTAAATTTCTTTGTTGTCCTGCATTTTATCGCAATGTTCGGGTGTCCGTTTCATTGTTACACAAATTTTCGGGTTAGCTGCGGGTGTCCGAGTGTGGTGTTCGCTTGTGCTCAATTTATAGCGAGGGTGATCGAACAGACCCGTTCGTAACCAAAGCAGCTGTCGGGTATGCATCTCGATCGAACACATAGTAGCCGAGTGTGGCGTTCGCTTGTGCTTGATTTTTAGTGAGTGTGATCAAAAAGGCTCGATCATACTCAAAGCTGTTCTCTGATATGTATACTTGTTTGTAGATATAAAAGTATCCGCATTAGAGTGGTCCAGAAACCCATGCAAGAAAAATAAAATTTTTGTCTATCCTTGGAAATTATTATTTGTCAATAATTAGACTATTTTTCTCTTCAGGAGGGTTGAAAGAATGGTACCCAATTGTTTATTTAACCATTTCTTAATTCAAACGATTCTTTATGTGGGTTTTGGGGAAGCCCTAAAAAACTGTTAATATTAAAAAATGGTAAAATGAGCAATTGGTTATCATTCGTTGAGGTCTCTTGAAGAGAAACAAAGTTTAACGATTGAAAAATATAAATTTCCGAGGATTCTGTACAATTTGTACGAGAAAGTCTCTTTTTATTTTACCGCTTTGGCCGACCTCTAAATATTTTTTTATTTCAAAAATAAACACAAGGGCATATTTTTCGATATAGAACAATCCTATGGGGTGGGAGCATTAAAATTCCGGCTTTAATTTCTTTGAACCACCCTAATGTACATACATTCATGTATTTTAAGAAAATTATATGCTTTCTGAAACGGCAAATTGGCCGAAAATCTTTCCTGTAGGTTCGTAAATAAAAGTATTTTGACGAAGGAACGAGTATATCCCACGCTTTTCTGCTTACCACTTCCACCTTAATGTGCATTGGACAGCGGTTTCGTGAAAATTTTTTTTCCCACTAGCAAATCAGAGGTTGTCAAAGACGTCTAAGAGTTTAAAGACGTTTATGTAGTAAATATAATAGTATACCGATGGTTTAGTTTTTTTGCCATTTTGCCTTTTGTCTTTAGTAAAGACCATTCCTGGCATTGAAGATGAATTTTGTGCTTTGGTGCGTTCAGAGACTTACACTGCAATTCTGGCTAAGATAGTTGCAACTCTTTTGTATGACAGTTGAAAGCCAGCAGTCAAGATAGTTTAAAATATTTTTATTATTCTGTTACGACAGTCGTACAAAAAAAGCTCCTTTCCCACATTTATTGGTGACTGAAAGCACTTGAGCATGTTACAATGGAGTATGTAGTATATCAATTTGATCACGCTGCCGAAACAGACGCTATGACCGTGGGAGCAAAGCATTGGCGTGCCATTCAAGAGATCCGAGTTCGATTCTTCAGGCAGCGGAATATTTTATTTAAATATATATATATTTATTCTGTTTCATTTATGATTTTATTGTTTTAAAAAGAAAGTAAATTTTTTTATTTACTTTATAGAAACTTTGTTTATTTTCTCTTTTTTTAATTTTATCTTCTCTTTTTTAATTCAATTTTCTTTAAGTTTTAGGTTTAATGTTTTAAGAAGAAAAATAAATATATAAATTTTTAGTTCAATACAATTTTTGAAATCTATTTTTTTCTGATTTATTTTATTTATTTTTTATTATTTTATTTAATTGCTTTTAATTTTTAGATGTTATTATTTTAACAAACAAAAAATTTTTAGTTGGTATTATTTATAGAAACTTACATTGTTAATTTTTTTTCTTTTTTAATGTAATATTAGTTTTAATTTTTCGGAATTTAAAGTTTTAAAAAAAAATTTTTTTACTGAGTTTCCCTTTACTTTTTTTTAAAATTATTTTTTTCCTTTTTCGATTAAATTTTCTTTTAGTTCTTCGGTTTTATTGTTAAAAAATATATATATATAATTTTTTAAATTTATTTCAATTTTGAGAAAACTTATTGCTAAAGGAAAATACAATTAGGCGCAAGCATCTTCGTTAGCAGATATTTCAATTAGTCTTGCCCGAAAGACTTTGGTGAGTTGAAAGGCAGTTGCCAGAGTTGCCCAGCTCTAGTACAGTTTATTCGTGTTATTCCCGTTTTTTGTGTATTTTTTGCCCTTTTCTAAAAAAGGAACGATAAAGGGCCGCCTATTAAGGGTTAGAGGATTAGAATATTTTACAGAAATGTTCTCTAATACCTTTAAACCAAAACTCATACTTAAAATGATAAAAAGCCGATACACGTATGTTGTTATTTGGTCTCCTCAAGCAGTAACCGTTATCAGATTCTTTGTATTTTGGAAAAAGTTTGCTGTCGTTGTATAGTGTTACTTATTTGTGATATTTTTATCTACATAAACTATATTTTTCCCAATTTAGTAATATTTTTCCAATTTTTTGGTTCCATTTTTTTCACACAGATATCCCCGCTCACGTTCCGGTACCTCAACGACCACTGCCCCGCCACATAGCGGCCCCTCACATTCGCATCATTCGTCGCATCAGCTACACCACTCGGCGTCGGTGTCGCATGCGCACCATCCAACTTCACACACATCGCATTTATCATCCGCACAACAACAACAGTCCGCAGCGTCACATCATCAGCAGCAACCACATCGAACCGCCTCGCAACGATTTCGTGCCGCCACTGCCTCGCGTAAATTCCACTTTGTGTTCGATCCAGCGGGGCGTCTGTGCTACTACTGGTCAATGGTCGTATCGCTGGCGTTCCTCTACAATTTCTGGGTGATAATCTATCGTTTCGCCTTTCAAGAGATCAATCGACGAACGATTGCCATTTGGTTTTGTCTCGATTATTTCTCCGATTTTTTATATCTCATAGATATATTCTTTCATTTTCGTACCGGTTACTTGGAGGATGGTGTACTACAAACTGATGCGACGAAATTGCGTCAACACTACATGAATTCGACAACATTCTACATTGACTGCCTGTGTTTGCTGCCATTGGATTTTTTATATCTATCAATCGGATTCAATTCGATATTGCGTTCATTTCGTTTGGTGAAAATCTATAGATTTTGGGCATTTATGGATCGCACCGAACGACATACGAACTATCCGAACTTATTTCGTTCGACAGCGCTGATACACTACCTACTTGTGATATTCCATTGGAACGGATGTCTGTATCATATTATACATAAAAACAATGGATTCGGTTCGAGGAATTGGGTGTACCATGATTCTGAATCGGCCGATGTAGTTAAACAATATTTACAAAGTTATTATTGGTGTACGTTAGCTTTAACGACGATCGGGGATTTGCCGAAGCCCAGATCGAAAGGTGAATACGTCTTTGTGATATTACAATTGCTATTCGGACTGATGCTGTTCGCGACGGTATTGGGTCATGTGGCGAACATTGTGACGTCGGTGAGTGCGGCACGCAAGGAATTTCAAGGTGAGTATTGCTATGAAAAAAAAAATCTATATAGAAGATTTGTGCTAAATTTAAGGCATTCTAGGATAACTAAATGAAATAAACTTGGCGTAAAACAGTATGTAACTACAAAGTCCAAGCTTATAAAAAAATAGTGTAAAACGCTTTCAATATCAGTAGAAACGAGTACATATAATTTATTACAAAAGGCATCAAAGGAAATGGCTTTGAAAATGCTTTATTTCCTAACTACATGTTGTAGGTTTGCCACCTGTTCAAAATCAAATTCAATTTAAATTAAGAGAATTAGGTAATTGGAGAGTGTATCGCAATATGGCTGTCAGACGAAAGAGGTTTAACAAGATTTTGGTTTGGAAATATTTTGAAGAGGGTTGCCACCTGTTTTAAAAGTCGAATTTAATTAAACTAACAAAAGTCATATGAAATATTAAAATATGTCAGTCAAACGGAAGAGTGTTAAGAAATATTTAGTTTGAACATTTAGAATATTTTGGAGATGTTTGAAGAGGGTTCCTACAGGCTGAAAAAGTAAAATTCAGATTATTTTATAAGCTAAATAAATTAATAAGAGAAGGGTGCCTATGGAAATAGGTTTAAAAGGGCTTTATCTCTGAATTATATTTAGGAGCGTTGCCACGTGTTTAAAAAAATGAAATTCAATCATATTCAGTAACTAATAAAAATATGTATTACTACGTGAGACGAAATAGGCTTTAGAAGATTTTAGTTTGAAAATACTTTTTAAGAGTATTGTCGCTTGCTTTTAAATGCGAGTTCGGTTAATGTATACATAAATTGGTATTAAAATATAAGTATCGAGCGAGAGAGTTTTAACAGAGCTTTAGTTTGAAAATATTTTAATTAGGGTTGCCGCCCATTCGAAAAAATCATATCTATCTGTCTATATATGTGTGTATATAATCGTGAAGATTTCATGTTTGAAGTTAGCACTCTGTTTATGATTTAGTGTAGGTTTAAAGAACATAAATTCCTGGTGACTAATTGGCTGACAAGGAGGTTAAGATATTTCACTGAGAAAAATCCTGTTAACGATATGCTAATGAAACTTCTAAATGCATGCATCTTTTCTTTGTATGTATATACATATTTACTGTTAATTTTCCGCTTGTTATATATATATTTACGTTAAAAGGTCGTCAGCATAGTAAGGTATATACATACATGTGCATACATATGTATCTACATATAATAACAAAGCTTAAGTGGAGTGTGAGAAAATATTTAACATACAGATAAGGCTCCTGAACTATGCAGAAAATTCAATGCAAAACTTGCTGTGTTGTAGCGGAGGAAATCAAAGCAAATTCCATAATCCATAAGTCAAAATATAAGCATTTACAGCAGCATTAACAACAACCACGATAATCCTAAGTAACATTCATGAACATAATAATGTCAGAGCTATCCTAAAGCTAAAGAGGCGTGTTTGTGCGATACAAGCTTTAACATAAATACTTACTTACTTACTTACTTACTTACTTAAATATATATTAGGGTGTATCACTCTCCATAAAAAAAAATCGGCGCTGTTTTTCCATCGAAAGCATAAAAGGTATTATATTTTATACTTTCGGCAAAATGTTTCGGAAAAGTTTTAAGACATACGCGAGTTCAACCTATTAGAAAATACTGCAAAAATCGAGTTTTTTTATAAATGAAATTAGTTCTAAAAAAAAGTTTCAAACAAATCACCTCAGATGATAGAAGTGTTTAAGCTTAAAAGATCTGCATTAGTTAAAATGTTTAAAAACTTTATCAGCGGAATCAATGGTTTCCTCAAATCGGCCTAGCTGATGTAATTCATAATATTTTTTTTTTTCGAAACACTTTAGCGGAGATCCTAGGATGTAATACACATCACCCTAATATATACATATGTATGTATATGTACCTGACTAAATGAATGAAAGGTTGCATGAATGCCGAAAGGCTAAGCAGGGGAGTGTAAAAGGATGGCGCATTCAATAGATCCACGAGCGAATGGGTATTGAAATCTTAATTCCACTTGACTTCATTGTCGCTTCATAATGCCGAGCAAATGTAACGAAACAGACAGCAATAAGAACAGCACAAGTGGTAACAGCAGCAAAAACAAAAACAACAACAACAATAGAAACAGTAGCAACACAACTTAAGCTTATATGGCACAGACCAAATTGACCGGGGAAGAGAGTAACCAATGAATTTAACTAACGTTTGGCGCTGTAGGTGAAGAGATGGCGCAAATTGAAGTCAAAGGAAGGGGCAAATGACTGAGGCTGCTTGAAACCTTCGTTTCTAATACATAAATATTGCATAGTAAATGACAAGGGGATGAACCGTTGATCCACGTTGGATCATAGCAACACGGTAACGCCCAAACGCACACGAACCCAAAGTTGAGTCTATGAAATAGAAAAATGCCTGATAAATATGAGGATAACAGAAAATATTGAAGTCCAATGCTTTTACTGCTGTGGAGCAGCGGGTGAGTGACGACGTTAAAGACCATAACGATGACGATGACGATGACGAAGACGATGATGTTGATGAATTTCCAGTTGAATGAAGATGCAGATATAAAGCGGCTCCTTTTGCTACCTATATTCACAGCAGTTAGCAAATAGAAGGAAGTTGATTTTCATTATGCTCATTTTTAGTTTGTTGCGAAAATTCTTAACGCAAAGAAAAGTTAAGAGATTTATGGAAATAATGACAATGCAAGTAAAGCGTCATGTTGGAAAATACGCCAGTTCGCGAAAACATTTTTTTTTTTCAGGATGAAAAAGGAACACTGTTTCCGTAATGGTGTTAAGTGAATGAAAGTGAAAAATATTCTTAAGCTGACAATCAGTTCTGTATTGCTTAGAAAAACTTGGTTGTATT